GTTGGTGGCATCAAAGGGCCCTGGACAGACAGGCATGCTGGCACACTAGCGTGAACAGAGGCTGCATCCCCCCTAGGAGGGGCGGAGGGCAGGAGGGCTAAAGGGCGTCAGGGAGGGCGAACAGAGAGGCTTACGGGCGACAGCTTTGTCTGGGCACCATGGACCTCTTCCCTGCCTTCCTGCCCCAACTCAGGCCCTGGGGCAGCAGGAGGAGCTAAGGGTTCTGCCCTGCCCCTCTGGCACACCCAGCCCAGACCCCCACCTGGACCTGACCTTCCTCACCATCAGGGCAGGTGAGAGGACCCACAAGAGGGTCCTCTCTTCCTAGAGAGGACCTTCCTCTATTCCTAGAGAACGTGTTGAGTTCTGGGAGTAATCAGCAGAAGGATGGAGGAATGGAGGGGTAGAGGATGGAAGGGTGGAGGGATGGAGACATGGAGGATGGAGGGGTGGAGGGATGGAGGAATGGAGGGTGGAGGGATAGAGGGGTGGAGGGTGGAGGGAAGGGGTGGAGGGGGATGCTCTGCACAGGAGGCTGCTTCCCAGTTCACTTGGGTTCAGTGTTCAGCTCCAGCCAGGGACACAGAGGTGGGAGGGACCCCAGGGCTGGAGGCCAGGGAACGTTTGTGTCCCGCCCTAAGGCAGGATCCAACCCCTGCACCTCAGAATTGAGCAAGATGCCCAAGGCCTCCCCTCAGCCCAGTCCCAGGGGCTGGGTTTTGCAGTAACAGTTTCCCCAGTAGGGAGAGGACCCCTCAGGCCACAGCTGGGACGTGCAATAGCTTGGCACCCCTGTGGCTGGGAGGCTGTCCTGGGGGCATGCCCTGTCCTCCAGAGGGAGGGTGCCTCTTTCCCACCCCACACTCATCAAGGCTGGGGCTGGCCGAGCAGGAAACTGTCAGCCAGACTGAGAACTCCCCTCCAGTGCTCTGGTCTCTCCACCCCCCAGTTCCCAGCGCTGGGGAAGTGGGGGGTGCTCTATAGCATTGGAGCCTCTTCCCAAACTGGGAGAAGCTACAGGAGCAGCTAGGGACTGAGACAGGGCTTTCCCCCACCAGCCCCTCTGCCCCTCCTTCCATGTCCCCACCACACCACCCTTCTGGAGTCCGCACCGCCCGCTCCGTCTGCACCACCCAGGCTGGATGCTCCAGGGGGATTCGATCTTTGAAAGAGAAAAGTCCTTGAGGAAACGCAGCATCCACCCTGGGGAAGGCCAGTGCTGACCTTCAGGGACGAGGTGCATGGGTCGGCACTGTGCAGAGGAGAAGGGTAGGATTGGCCTCCCACTGTCCCCTCCTCCTGGGGCCAACACAGGGCAGCCCCTCCCTGACGTCACCTGAAACTGGGATTCAGGCCCAGGGTTCGTCCACCCCACATCCACATAGCAGGGATTCCCGGGCCCTGGGGGCAGCCACTGAACAATAAGGAAGCGGAAGTCTCCCTCAGCCCCTCTTTGCCTCCACCCCAGCCCCTCTGCAGCATATCCCTCAGCAGCCCCTCCCCAGCCCCCGCAAGCTGGGCTTAGAGGGCTCTGCTGGGGCATAGCCCTGGGGGCATGAGGGATGCGGACACCCACCCCTTTCCCTGCAGACACACTTGGAGGGGGGTCTGGGTCAGGGGTCCCTGCCCACCTGGCAGCAGCCCAGGAGAGCCCTGCTGAGTGGGGGCGATGGGGGCTTCTAGATGCAGCTCCCTGCTGAGGCCAGGCCCAGCCTGAAAGCAGCTCCTCTAGCAACCCAGGGCAGGTGGGGTATGGGGGTCCCCTGAATATGTGTGGAGTGAGCCGTGGGTGGGTGTGCCTGTGAGGCCTGCAACTGCCCTGGGAGGAGCCTGGGATGGCTCCAGGAGCCTTCGCCCCGCCTGCCACAGGGCTGTGTGTGGCCGGCTGGCTGGACTGCGGCCAGAGCTCCGAGCATGGCCTCTGGCATCACAGAGCCTGCCCAGGGCACCCACAGACTGCCCGCCCCAGCCCAGCCCCTGCCTCAGCCCCCCCGGCCCAAGCCCAGGCCGCTAAATTCTATAGAAACAGGCCTGGTTGCCATAGCAAAGCCACACGCACTTCCGCCGCTGTTCCCTGACGTCCCTTAGAACGTTTTTTCCATCCCAAATAGGCAGGGTGTGACGTCGAAGGCCCCTGGGGTGTCCCTGGCCTCTGCCTGCCTTGGTCCTCAGGATCCCCTCAGAACCCCAGCAGGCCCTGGTCCGAGGCCAGCTTGGCCCCCCTTCCCTCCTAGCACCGCGCCCCCCTCGCCTGTCCCTGCCCCCCACACCCACAGCCCCAGCTCTGCAGAGGCCTCTGAACTCCCCAGCTCTGCTCCTACTGCAGCCACTCAGCCTCCAAGCCTGTCTTGCCCTGGACAAGCCTCCCCAGTGTCCACAGCTCCCTCTGCTCCAGGGAGGGGGTCCCCCCAGCTTGGCCAAGGTTTTACCCCAACTTCACAGTAAAGATTCCTTTTGCTGCCCCTCTTGGCCCCTTGAGGGCTGGCGACATCTCTCAGTCCTTTTTTCCCGTATGTCATGGCTGTCTATTGTGTGGGGACTTGGTCCAGTCAAGGGGAAGTCCAGAGGGCTTCCTGGAGGATGAGGCTGCTGGGATCCAGAGTGGGGAGAGTATCCTGGGGCACAGGAAGAGACCCCAGCTTCACGGCCCCGGGCTGGGGAGTGCATTCCTGGCTCTCACCCAAGTCAAGTGGGCCTCAGACCCTCAGCAACAGGTCATGAGCTTTGCCCAAGAGCCAAGGGCAGCGGTGCGCGCCCCCCCCACCCCAGCCCATGTCTCCCAGTCCTGCTCTATGTTCTCATTTGCTTCTTGTGTGGCTCAGTCTCCCGGGCTCTCTCCTTCCTTCTGCCCTGCAGCAGCAGGGAGCTGACACAAACACTGGCCAGATCTGGGCCCGAAGAGGCAACAGGAACGTGAGGGCAGAGACCGTCTGACCCACTCAGCCACCCAGCGCCCTCATGCCAGCGTGCCACCGCACTGCCACCTCCTTTCCCACACCGTCCCACGCCCCTCAGTCCTGGCCCTCTGCGTCGCTACCCCCACTTCCCACCTGGGTGCTTCTGGGGTTGCGTCACCTCCACCCCGAGTTACCAGGCAGCTGGCCTCCTCCAGCTGGGTGAGGGCGTCCGGGTCTGCACATGACCAGCCCCAGCCTCCAGTGCTCACTTTCCCCTTTCACCTGCCCCGCCTGGCTGCACCCTCCGCCTCCAGGGAGCAAGGCTGGGGGCAGCGGGGGATCTGGAGAAGACTGAGGGCTTGGTGGGTCCCTCTCCACAGGTTCCTCCCGCATGAGCCACACAGAGGGCCTGGTGAAGTCCTCGGTGCCCACCCACCGAGAAGGCCGGACCGAGACACACGCAGCCAACAGTTCTTGGCCCTCCCCACAGGCCCTCCCTGATCCCGCAGGGCGTCGGTCCGGGAGATGCTGTGACACCATGGTCAAAGCAACGGGCACTGGGCTCAGACAGAGCTCGGTTCAAATTCCACTTCTGCCACTTTACAGCTGTGTACCTGCCCTCCCAGCCTCCAGTTTCTCGAAAAATGGAGTAGAGCCGGACCCTCGTCTGGAAGGAGCCAAGAGAAGATGCACCTGTCAAGAGGGAAGGCGCCCCAGACAGTAGCTCCTCTGCTGAGCAGACCATGGAGACTGAGGAAGGTGGAGAGGCCGGCCCAGGCTGTGCCGTGGTGACCAGAGTCCCATTCCTTCTGCTTCGTCCACAGCTACCACATATCCAGAGCCCTGGCAGTGCCTGAGCCAGTCCCATGCCAAGCCGGGGAGCGGCTGCATCCCAGAGCCAGGCTGCCCATGCTTCCTGGCCAGGAGGCCCTTCAACCGCATCTTCCTCCTTTCCCCAAACTGCTCATTCCTTGTCCAACCAGCTGGCCGAGAGTCACACCAACCATGGGGTGCCAGGCCCTATGCGGGCGGGTGGGGACATGTGATGGCTGAACGCAAATCTGACCTGGGAGGAGCTAGGAACCTGGTGGGGGACACAGGCAGACAGAGGGGCAGGAGCCCCACCAATCGCCACTCAATCTGCCAAAGGCACTTTTCGGTGGGTGCCAAAGACCCTGAACTTTTCCATTCACTTCCAGAAATATCGTGACACTTGGCCCCAGTGGGCTACGGTGGAAGTCACTTCACTAGAGACCCTCAGGTTGGGGCATCAGGTTGGGGTGCCGACTCCTGGCCCCTCCCCTCCCTCGACCAGGCTACCCATACCACCGCTCCCCATCAGGACATGGGGCCCGGGGCTTCCACAGAGAACTATGAATGCCCAGAGCAGTGAAGTCAGGATAGTCCCAACAGAGAGGCACAGGAAAGGGGTCTAGGAAGGGAGAAGCCCAAAGAGAAGGAATGAGGAAAAGGGAGGCTCCTCACTTGGCGAGAGCTAGGGGGCCTGTGTGTGCCCAGGAAGGGGCCGGAGGGGTGGTGAGAAAGGTGGGCAGACAGGCTGGGCGGCGTGAAATTCCTGAGCAAGCAAGCAGCCCTCCACCCCCAAGAGCAGGGTGGGATCCAGCAGGCCCCTCTCCTGGACTCCAGACTGAGCCCCAGCTGACCACTCTGGCCTGGCTCAAGACAACCATATCTTGACAGCTGGACCCCAGTGGGGATTAGGAGACGATGGCCTAGCCTCCGTCTCTCCTGCTTCCCCAGTGAACTCCGAAGTCTGTGGTCCACACACAGCTAGAAAGCTCTTTACCGGACCTAGATCGGACCCGCCTCTCCAGCGCTTCCTCAACCCCAAGTCATTTGAAAGCACAATAACCCCGCCCCCACCCCCGCCATGCACTCTGTGAACCTGGTCCGGCCTCATCGACTTCGCCTCTCCACTTGCCAGGGCTTGCTGGGGTGCGTCAGGCCCCTTCTCACCCCAGGCCTTTGTACATCGGACTCCCTCTTCTTGGAACGCTCCTCCTGCACGTCCCGGGACTGGCTGCTTCTCCACCAGGCCTTTGGCTAACGGTAGCGCCGCCCCCACCCCCGACCAGTACTCACTTTTTCAGCACCCTCTTTCTTTCTTTCACAGCACATACCGCCGCTCCCCATGATTTTGACTATCTCTTGTCCATCTCACCACCCTGTCTGTCTAGACCGGGAATAAGGAGGAGTTGTCCCGCAGGAGACATTTGTTATCGCAATTAAGGAAGAGCGGGTGTTTACTGGTATCTAGCGGCCGAGAGTCAGGCAGGCTGCTCCACATCCTACAATGTACAGGGCAGCCCCCCGCAGCAAAGAGCGACCCGGACCGCGTGGTCGATGGTGCGGAGGTTGGGGAACCCTGCAGCAGATGCCGATCACAGGAGAACTGGGACCGTGTTCTCCGCAGTCTCCCGGCGGCCAGAACAGTGTCTGGCACCCGGGCGGCTAGGGGAATGCAGGAAAAAGGAATGAGTAAAGAACGCGCGAGAACACAACGGAGCGAGGGACGGACAACTGACAGGCGGACGGACAGCGACGCAGACTCCGACCCCGACCCAGACCCGGACTCCGACCCCGACCGTCTCAGCCCCGCCCTCCCCCGCCCGACCCCTCGCCTCGTCTCGACCTCGACGCGCCCGATCCCGCCCCACTGCGCGGCCCCGAGGCGCGAGCTCCGGGTCGGGCGCGCCGCGGGGACACTCACCCGCCCGCGGCCGCCCGGGAGCGGCAGCACTGCCAGCCCGCTTCATGATGCCCCCTCGGCCGCCGGCCGGGAAAGGGACGGGACGCGCGAGCCGGAAGCGCTCGGCCGCTGCGCCCGCCGGGACTTGTAGTTCCCCACCTCTCGGGGCCCGGTCGGCTGCCTCACGCGCGGCATTTCCGAAACTACGACTTCCGGCGGCCTCGTCGTCGCGGGGCGGGATTGGCGGCTTCAGAATCACTCTATGTTGCAGATTGATGTCTGATTGGCTTTGCTCATCCGTCACTCACTGTTAGGCTTCACGGACTCCGCATAAGGGAGGAGCTTCGGTTCTGGGTCCGAGAGATCGCGGCCAAAGAAATGCCACGATACGATTGGTGGAAACAACGCGGTAGGGAGCGGGGCGTACCAGCGGCAGGGGAAGGCGGGCACTTCCGCCAGGATAGCCCAATGACAGAGGTGGGAAAGTTTCTATAAAAGCTTGAGCCTCGCGCCCCTCCATTCTTTTGCGGTCGAGTGCGAAGCGGGAGAGTTGTATTAGTGCGTACGCCATGTGCTAAGATCCAGGGAAGAACTGGGCCACGAGCGTGGCTTTGAGGGCGGCCTGAAAGCTGCAGGCCGGCCTGGTCCACGGGCGTCCAGCCTTGGCCTAGGCTCCACTTTGTCCCTTAGTGTTTAAACGTTTCTTTCTGAACCTCAGACCCTCAGCTACCTGCAGGTAAGACTGGGCCGGGTCTGGGTTCCCCTATTCTTCAAGCCTGTGATGAATTGCTTTGACTTCTGACACCTCGTATGAAAACTGCACGTGCAGTCTGATTATTTTGCAAGACTGAGGCTTGGGGATGCTCACTCTTGACGGAGACAGGCTGAGAATGGAAACAAGTGTTGGCCGAAACGAGGGAGTGGTGACTTATGTCTACGTTTTGGCGCTGTCTGACTTTCAGGTTTCGTCGCCAGCCGGCTGCAAATTTTGAACCTAAGTAAACCTCAATCCGGAGGGCCGAGCGGTAAGGTGGGCGTTGTGGCGATTGAAGTGCTTAGCAATAAAGCAAAGGTAGTGAGTTGATTTGGTTTTCTCTCAAGTGTCTTTATTTTCCTATTCTTCTGGCACCCCGGAGGTCTGGCTTATCCACAGGCAATCTTGGGAAAGTGTACAGACATGAAAACGGAACGGAAACTCGTTACCAGTGACTTTCCGTCTCTTGAGATTGCCTTCGCCATTTCTGCCCGTAATTTTTTTTTTTTTTTAAGACAGTTTCACTCTTGTTTCCCAGGCTGGAGTGCGATGGCACAACCACCGCCTCAAGCGATTTTCCTGCCTGAGCCTCCTAAGTAACTGGGATGACAGGCGCCTACCACTATGCCTAACTAATTTTGTATTTTTAGTAGATACGGGGTTTCTCCGTGTTAGGTTGGTCTCAAACCCCTGACCTCAGGTCATCCACCCGCCTCAGCCTTCCAAAGTGCTGGGATTGCAGGTGTGAGCCACCACACCCAGCCAAATACTGTTTTTCATGCCTTTGCCCCAGGGTAAGTCCAAAAAAGCCTTTGAGATCTGTGGAGGGAAGTTGACACCACCTAGGGTTCCCATGTTCCTCTCTAGGGAGGCCTCAGCCATGGGGGAGTGATACCCACACACCTGCCGAGGGTTCTGGGCCCTGCTGAGTCTCTCAAGCTCTAGCATCTGCTCTAGAAGTGGATTTTTTTCAATACATGAGACAGACGCTTCAGAAAACACAACTTTATTCACTAGGACTGAAAACAAAGGCTTGCGATCAACAGGCCAAGTTGAGTGCAAGGTGGAGCGTGCTGGGAAATCATAGACCTCAGCTGTGGCCAGGCTGGGCTGGCATTTGTCGTTTTCTGGCGTTTCTGTGATTTCCCACGTTTTATCACAAGGCCACAGGCATCCTCCAAGGTCACTGAGGAAAACCCTATTGCTGTTTGAGCCAGAGCCTCCTAGAGGGTGGACTGGGAGCAGGTCGCTCCCAGGACACACAGATGCACGATGTGATTAGCAGTGAAGACCTCTGTCCCAGGCGTGGGCAGGCGACCTCCCTTACCTGCCTGAGCAGTGTGTGCGGGTGAAGACATGGCTTTTCTAGGGTTAGGCACTGTGCGTGGTGCCAGCCCCAGCCCTCCCTCACCTGGGTGTGCCCAGGAGGGGGCAGCAGAGCACCGTGGCAAAGTCTGTCCACATGCCGCGCCCCCTCCCGTGCAGAAGACTGCTTTTCCACGGTGGCCAGTGTGCGGGCCACGGGCTGTCAGAAGCCTGCTTGTTGGGACTGCTGCTGGGAGGAGGGAGGGGCAAGGCTTGACCTGGGGCTCCTGGAAACAGACACTGGTATTGGCCACTGGGCAACAAAGTCAGAAGGGCCTGGAGACTGTCCAGTCTTCTGGGGGTTGGGCGGTTTCCTCCAGAGGACTGAGCTCAGCCAGGTTCAAGGGCGGCAGCAGGAGGCCCCGCGACCCTCCCTCTTAACGTAATCGTGCAGCCGGAAGCGTGGCTCGCTGGGAGTTTTCATGGAGCGCTGCTTCAACTCCCTGCGGAGTGGGAGTGACAAGGGGACACGATGACCTGGACTCCAATAAGAGGGTTTAGGCCCTGTGCTGGGGGAGCCCTGGTGACTGGCAGGACTTACTTTGCTATGGCTGTGAAGGCCAAGTCCACATTGAGGCCCGTCTTGGCGCTGGTCTCCATGAAGGGCAGCCCATACTCCTGTAAACAGCTGCTGCCAGCCAGGTGGTGGCCTGGCGGGGACAGCCCAGGCTCGTGGCCTCCAGGGGCAACCCCTCACCACCCCCCTGCCTTGACTCACCTTGGCCAGCTTCTCCCCGTCCTCCCTCTTCACCACACGCTCATGGGCAGAGTCCACCTGGCCCAGGCACAGGGTCTTGGTGACAGCTGGCCCATGGTTGGCCCCTGCCCCCTCACCTGCCCTGCCCTGTGACCCATGTGAGGACAACCGGGCCTCCCACCTTGTTCCCCAGCAGCATGAGCGCCACGTCGTGCTGGGCATACTCATGGATCTCGGCCAGCCAGGCCTGTGGGAGGCAGCAGACGAGGCTGGGGCTCCCTCCATGGCTTGCCCCATGCCCCAGAACTTTGGCCCTCCAGGTCACACTGTACAGGGCACCTGTCTTTATTTCATCTTTTTTTTTTTTTTTTTTTTGAGACAGAGTCTTCCCCTGTTGCCCAGGCTGGAGTGCAATGATGCAATCTCCATCTCCTGGGTTCAAGCTATTCCTTGGGAAGGTTCAGCCTCCCAAGTAGCTGGGATTACAGGTATGCACCACCACACCCAACTAATTTTTTGTATCTTTGGTAGAGAAGGGGTTTCACCATGTTGGCCAGGCCAGTCTCCAACTCCTGACCTCATGATCTGCCCACCTCGGCCTCCCAAGGTGGTGGGATTACACGTGTGAGCCACCATGCCCGGCCCATTTTATTTTTTTGAGACAGTTTTGCTCTGTCATCCAGGCTGGAGTGCTGTGGCACAGTCTTGACTCACTGCAACCTCAGCCTCCTGAGGAGCTGGGATTACAGGTGTGCGTCACCACACCCAGCTAATTTTTGTATTTTTAGTAGAGATGGGGTTTCACCATGTTGGCCAGGCTGGTCTCAAACGCCTGACCTCGAGTGAGCCACCATGCCTGGCCAGGATACCTGTCTTTAGAAGTGATAACCCCCCGTGTATCACATAAGGAAGCCCACCTTACAGGTCCGTTATGCAAAGGGTCCTGTTGAGGGAGCTGGAATGGCACTCAGGTCCACTTGGGCCACCTCCAGCCCAGAAGGCTCATTTCCCTCCCCCTACTCTCAGTGGGGTCCTTTGGAACCCTGATGCCATCTACCAGGAGGAGGTTGGGGTGGGTCAGGCCGTATCAGGGCCCTTTCACCCCACCGGGAAGGCCACTGACCTGGATGTTGTCAAAGGAGGCCTTGTTGGTCACATCGTAGAGCAGCAGCAGAGCTGGGGACAGGGCAGTGAGGACATCCACCATCACCTGCACCCTCAGGTGCTCAGACCCGCCCCTGCCCCCCCAACCAGCCCGGGTACCCAGGGGCTCACCATGAGCGTCACGGTAGTAGGCATGGGTAACACTGCGGAACCGCTCCTGACCAGCTGTGTCCCACATCTGCAGCGAACAGGCACTGGTCAGGCTGTCCAGCCCCTCCCTGGCATCCCCTGTCCCCCAGCTTGCCCTCTGCCAGTCACCTTACCTGCAGCTTCACCTTCACACCATCCACGTCCAGAACTTTGTTCTGAAACAGACAGAACCAGGCAGCTCTGGCAAGGGCCGGGCCCAGCCTCTATCCCCACTAGCCTCACTACCACCCCCTCAGAGTCCCATGGCTCTCCTTCCCGCCCAGCTTCCCGTCCCCTAAGACCTCCCAGCTCCCAGGTCCAGCCCAGCCCCTGCAGGGTTCCCTTAAACCAATTTGGCCTCACCCACACCCGCAAGTGCGGGCCTCTCCCCACAGCTCTTGTGCTGACTTATTTGAACTCATGACCCCACCAGGCCTCTTAATGACACTGCCTCGGTTTCCCCATGTGCAAATGGGTGCCAGTCACATGGCTGCTGCAGTAACTAACGAGCTGCAACGCCTCAGCCTCCCCAGTAGCTCTTTTTGCTTATTTGAAAGACTCAGGATGGCTTGAACCCAGAAGTTGGAGGCTGCAGTCCACCATGATCACCGCTGCACTCCAGCGTGGGCGACAGAGTGAGACCCTGTCTCAAAAGAATAAAAAATTACAAGCCTCTTCTTGCTGGGATTGTCAGGGCTGGGCCTGGGCCTGTCGGACCCAAGGCAGTAACCATAGATCCCAGAACTGCCTGGCAGCGTCCCAGGCTGGGCCCTCCCAGTTAAGGACTAGACGTAGGCAGGGAGTGGTCTGGCCCCAGTCCATCTGCTGGGGTGGGGGCGGGGGGCTTCAGTCGCAGCCTGAGGTCCGGGCCAGCTGGAACTCGTGCCACCTCCCTCAGCCTGAGCTCCTGCTGTCAGAGTGCTTCTGGGTCTCCCGGGAACCAGGCAGGGCCATCTGCTGGGCTGGGGAGGACACCGCCTTCCCTAGCACCCTGAACAAGAGTGCGAACCAAATGGCCTCACCTCTTACCACCCACCCGAGAGCCAAGAGGGAGGTGGGAAGTGGGGACCAGACAGGACTGGCCTGCCCCCCTCGGGCACTTCAGTCCTCTGTCCATCCCAGAGGACCTGAGGGGAACTGGAACTCCCAGACAGGGTAGAGAACAGCTCCCCAGACTGAGGGAGCCCTTCTTCCTGTCCCTGGGACAGCCCTCCCTCCATCCTCCCTCTAACTGGCTGTAATTAAAGGGTGAGAAAAACGCAAACTTAAGATTTGCTGAGAATACGACAGCACCTCAGCACGAGGAATTCGGGCTGGTGGTGGAGGGGGTGGCCTCACCCAAGGGCAGGGTCCTCTCCCCTAGGCAAACCCTGGAAACACCCTCGCTCAGGCTCTGCAGGGAGCACGTGCTCCTAGGGCCCGGCAAGGCCTCTGTACTGAGGCAGCACTGCTGGCCCCAAGTGGGCATGCCCCTTCACTTCCTCTGACCCACCACACTGTGGGCAGCAGCGTCCACCTCCCCCAAGGCACAGGATATGGTCCCTGGGTAATGCCAGCCCCTGGCACAGGGCAACTAACTCTGCTTGTCGGGTGCAGCCACCAGCCCAGGTGTTGGGAGGTCGAGGCGGGCAGCTTGGTGGCTAAGGCATTCCACCTGGCGTCCAGGCTGCTTGAGCCTGTCAGTACCACAGGGATCACAGAGAACTTGCTGCTCAGGGGTACTGGCAGGACGTGGGGTGATGTGGGGCCGGGCCGGGGCCTCCACTCACCCGGAAGTCAATGCCTACGGTGGAGATGAACGTCCCCGCCAGGAAAGCGCCGTCCTTGAATCGCACTAGCAGACAGGTCTTCCCCACGCCCGAGTCCCCCACCAGCATGACCTAGGACAAGCAGGAGGGTCAGGGAGAGTCCGGTCTGCCCTGAGCTGACCTGGTCAGAGGGGTTGCAGGCTCAGTGGAGCCAGGGACCCCGATGG